CTACAGCCAAAATTTCAAATTTCTCTAGATCTTATAGGTTCTGAGATCTTTGCGTTCATACATACGGACGGACGGACATGGCTAGATCGACTCGGCTGTTGATGCTGATCAAGAATATATAGACTTTATGGCTTACAAATACATAATACCCTTTTTACCCATTTTCAATGGGTTCAGGGTATAATAAACTAAAATTCATATTTAATAAATCTAAATTCGAATTTAATTAACTTAAAAATGAATTTCTTTTCTTTAATAATTTAATAAACAAGATTTGTTGTTTTATATTTACAGACTCTGCTCTTTGACAATAACGCGTCTCTCCATCCTGACCCCGCTGCCCGGGGACACGACTTCGCTTTCGCTGGCGGTCAAAATGCAAAGCTCAAAGCGAACGCTCCGCAGCCACGAGATACCCATCAATGGCACCGCTCTGACATCGATGGCATCCAGCCGGGAGAGCGCCATGCAGGGCAACTCGCCGCTGGGCAATGTGATTGGCGGCTCCGGCCTGATTGGCACGCCGGGCAATGTGGGCAATGCGGGCATCGGTACCGGGGTTGTTCCACTGACAGAGACGGAGCTGGACTTGCACTTCAGTCTGCAGTATCCGCACTTCATCAAGAGAGACGGCAATAGGTAGGTTAACTCAGTTACCAACTGACCCAATCGCACTTCATGTTTCTCCTACCCCTCCCCGCTTGCAGACTGGTGATTTTGCTGCAGCGCCGCAAGAAATACAAATCGCGCACCATTCTGGGCTACAAGACGCTGGCCGAGGGCATAATACGCATGGATGCGGTGCTGCAGAAATCGATGGACATGATCATTGAGCTAAGTGCAACCGGCAAGAACGGCAGACCCGGCACTGTGGTTGCCTGCCTGCGCGCCGAGCGCGTCTCCTCCATTCCAGTTGACCATGACAATAAGAATAACAACAGCGTGCTGCTGGCAGGTGAGTCACCATCACCTATTCCTACAATTATCCCAGTGGTCCACTCCATGCAGTCCATCTACGCAGCCAAGCAACTTATTGCCAAATCCATAAAGCACACATGATCAACAATTCTCAAGAGTTGAGAATAGGAGCAGCGGGGGCGACGAAGGGGAAGCATCTCCATATCAGCCAGGCCTCACTCTATCTCTCTCTCTCTGTCTCGCTGAAGCATGTTACTGTTGTTATTCTATATATATATCTATAGCTATCGAAGATGATCCCAATTTGAGTTTATGTTTATGGTAATTGCTTGTGAAACAATTCCCCGCGCGCGACGTGAGAGATTCATGACGTCAGCCTTACTCGCCGCATATTTCAAATATATATATATATTTATTTATTCTACTTAACATTTGCTCCTTTTGTAATCGCGATCTTCCCAAGATTTCGCCATGTGTTTATCTGGGTTACAGCAGCAGCAGCCATCTCCATCGCATGGCAACAGCAGACGTGTCCCAGAATTTTTGTTATGAGTGTGTGTGTTTAATTAAAAATACTTTCCATACACTTGCGGACGGTAATATAATTTTGTCGCGAGCTGTGCGACGGTAACATCTCCGACCTGAAATTCTAAATATTTTTGTGGTACATATAATTAATTGTAGTATAATTAATCAGACGCGTGATTGTCCCTTTCTATGTCAATTAGTCTGAAACTTTTAAAACCAGCTTACTTTACAACTTCAATATTTTTGCACATAAAAAGATAAGTTGACCAAAGTCATTATTAAAGAGTTTTATATCTATAAGATAAGCGCAAAACTCAGTCAAGATCGTTTAAACATTAGGCAAAAAAAGGATATTACCAAAATTTCGGTATACAATTAATGTTTCGAGAATTTTTAGAATTTATTCAAAACATATTTTCGAGATATCTTGCCTTAACTTATCAAAGACAATTTTGAATAAATACTTAACAAAATTCGACTGCATTTTTCAATATCATACTAACGTGTATTGTCCGGCGTTGTCCGTAGAATGTTTGCATATTTCACGTTCCGCATATTTCACAAAAGTTCTTTGAAAATAAGTTTAGAACCGATCGAATTATTGCGACTTTTGCTGGTGGAATCACGTATGGTAATTTCAGTAAAAATTCCACCCTTTTCTAGCTTTTAGAAGGACTAAAAATGACCTATAGATATTTCTAGATGTTTGCCACACTTCAGCAAGTGTATTTCATCTGCGGCAGATACCAAAAATGTTCTATTTTCGTGCTCAAAGCAAACATCCCAATCGCATTCGCAAGCCGCAAGCATTCAAGCGCAAAACAGAAGAAGAATTTCGAGAAAATCCAATTATGAAAATAGCAAGGAAAATTTCTCATTTAGACCCTGCGGCGTCTCACAGCAGCAACTTGCAACATGCGGCCAAACTGTTGAGTTCCTGTTGCAGCCACAGACCGAGTATTTTGCGGGGCACGAAAAATGGCCAAGGTATCCAAGGGGGGCGCACTTTGGGGACGTGTTGCAGCAACGTCCTTGCAACCGCATTTGTACATGGTGTTCGACCCTCGCCGAGGGTTGAGGGTCAAAACTTATCGCTAGCCACTTGGCAGCTGGCCCAAAAATTATTGCCAATTGGGACTACCCTGCCAGCGCTTGGGGTCAGTCGAGTTGTTTTCAGCGACAGCTGTTGAATTACTTTTAGGGCCCGCTTTCTAATTTGCAAAAATTTATTTCAGTTGCACGGGAGAAAGAAACCTTTTGTACCTCCACCTCATTTTGTCTATTGATTTTTCGACCTTTTTTTGTGCGGCCTACAAAGTGCGGCTGTCGTCAATTGGGCCAAGAGCAGTCGAAGGCAATTGCATGGGCAGCTTGTTAAAAGCCACACCTAGAACCAAGAGTCCGACAGTAGAGAAAATCATCCCTTTGTAGACAACGATTTTTTCATTATATTCAATTCCATGCATTTTTCGTTATATTCAATGGGCTTTTGTGCCTGTTGGCTGGAAGACGAAACCCTGAAACCTGTCAGATTTCTAAAGCAAATCAATTTATTAATTCCTTAAAACCTTTTTGTGAACATCGTAAATTGAAATTCTTCGCTCCGGGTGAAGTTTTTATATGGAAAAATTTCCAGATTTCTGGAAATTAAGCCCCTTTCATTGGGTTCGCATATTATACACTAATAGAATATGTTTTTTGATGCCCCTCCTTTAGCTCTTACCAAAATGGAAAGATAGAACCTTGCGCTTTGGTATTTGCACATATTTGGTTGCCATATTGAAGCCCTAACAAATTCATAAGGATCGGACTGATCTAAGAACACATTTTCCAGACTGTGTATAAAATATGTAAATCTTTATTTAGCTGAATCGAAATAGAAAGGTCGTATATCTAAACTGACTGAATGGGATTTTTACTTTAGTTAGCTTACCTTCACTAACTTCATAAGGATCGGATAATAAACACCGATTCTAATCATCAAAGCATTCACCTTAGTGTTAGGGCTGACGGGAGATGAAGCATAACCGTTTTTCAAGATCTTTGCAAATAAGCTTTCACCTGAAACTTCGCCCTGTCAACTTTTCCAGCCACAAGGGATGAAAAGTGTAAAGAAGTTCACGAAGATCTTTGAAAATGAGTTTGAGGCTAATCGAATGTTAAACAATAAAGTTTCATACAATCGTTTTTTCTAAGTTTTTCACACTTTTGGGGGAGTTTACCAAAAACCCGTCTCGGTAAAAATCTTAACTAAGAAACTTAATATTGGGCTGCTCGTTGATCACGTTTTATATATATAGAGCTAAAAACTGAGATATTGAAAAGTACAGTACTTCGATTTAAATTTTATATTCCCACATAGCAAAGTGTTCATTATAACAAATATGCATTGAAATGCTTTAATCGATTTTTGGATGGGATGCCAAAAATTCGAATGTGTCAGCAAAAAAAAGAAGCAATAAAATATTTATAGTATTCAGAAATGAAACCAACAAAAATTTCAACTTGTGTGCTAAAAATAAAATGTGTTATCAGGAAAGCATTGTATTGAACGAGCTAATAATTAAACGCAGGAGCACTCTGTTGTGCCTATTCAGAAGGTATAAATAATTGTGTAACCGTTGCCAAGAAAGATGGAAAGCATCCTTGAGTCAGAGCATTGTCATTTGTAGCTGCTGCTGACAGGAATTAAGTCATTTGTCCTTGTGCGCCAGAGATAAGCAGAAATACAAGGCAAATGTGCAAACGAGAGCAGAGAAGAGGCTGAGCACGAATATGACAGTCAGGTGGCCGGATGATGCCCCCCCCCCCCCCCCCTCCCCCTTTTCGGACTGGGATTGGGCCCAGCCTGTGAGATACATATACATACAGATTTATCGTTGAGTGTTTAATGGCAAAATGCGTAAATTATGTCGAGCGTTGCTAGGGCGCATCATTGTTCACAGCCGTAACCCCCTACCCGCTGTCCCCCCTGCCCCATTCCCCCCCCCCCCCCCTGCCCCCTGACATGCCACTCGTTGTGTCGGCTGTCATCTAATGGCAACCTCCGCTGCTGTTGCGGCTGCTGCTGCTGCCGCTTCAGCTTTGGCCAAGGTCAAAGTAATGTAGTACTTTTTGTTGTGTGCCACTTTTTTTTAATACCCTGTAAAACTTGATTAAAAAAAAGCATGTTATGCCTTTGTGCAAGGCATCTGCGACCTCATGAAGTATATATATTCATGATCAGCTGAGGCGAACTCGAAAGCTAGAAAATGACAGGAAATTTGTATCTGAAATACTCGTATAACATTCATAGATCAAACTTGTTATTCCTTCTTCGATATCGTCTTCCATTTCCATTATGTCCATAAGTTCTCAAAGCTTTTAAGAACTTATTGGGTAGTTTCTCATAGGGTGTATAAGGTTTAAGGATATTTCAACCATCGCTGCTCCCAAAATTGTAATAAAAAATGTTAACATTTAGTTGTTTGGAAATATAAATTTCATAGGGATCGGACTGTAAATACCTAAGTTATTCAAGTATGAATTACACATTGCGATGTGGGGTTTTTTTTTTTTGTATATATTTTTGAATGATATAAATGAAGTTGGGCATATCGACATTTAATGCGGGGTATCTGCTAGTCGCATACTCCTGACGCCTTCGCTCTGGCTTGTTTTTTCGGTGCTGTTTATCTCTTGGTTGCCAGCCACCGCCGCAGCCATGGAACGTCCAGCCTCAGCTATATCTATCTATATATTTATATATATGTATAAGCATTAAATCAATGTCGTTCGTCGCGTTTCAATACGCTTTACATTACGTATACGCCGCGTTGAGCGCGTGGGCGTCCATAAGTGTGGCATCTGGTGCGGGAGGGGGTGTCTTCCTGGTGGGGGGAATTTTTCCCATGACTCGTCTTCTCCATTTTGGCCGCTAATGATAGATGGCCCCCCCTTGCCACCCCGGAGAAACACTTTGTCTTTGCCATTTTCAGTTTGTTTGCATTCATATGAACCGCAGTTCGCGGAATTTTGCGCACCTACAATAAGCAAGTTGAGGTGGAATTTTTACGTTTTCATGGAAATTTTATTAATATGCATAATGTAGACCCCTATGCAGATGGGAATTGGCGTGCAGTGTAGCGCATTAGTTCTTGAATAAACACACACACACATTCACCTCGCATATACGAATACTTTTGTAGATAATTAATATCGCTTTTGATATCGCCTTGTTGTTGCTTTGGTATCTTCATCCGGCAGGAAGTAGTTCGTTTGGCGAAAGTATTTCGCCTGAAAGATGAAACAGTTGGAAAAGTCAAGGCATGTTAATAAAGCTTGGGTAAAGAAGGATTCTAATATTTACAGGGTATGTAAGCTTCGGCTTACCGAAGACTTGTTAAAGGTATTGTTTTGGATAAATATACATATATTTAGTTGAAAGAGCGCAAAAGATGAGTCGAGCGAGATATAAAGGGGCATTATCTTGTCATTACAATATAATGACAAAGGCCATTGCAGATATTAACTAAATAATAAAATTGCATTAATGTGTTGTTGTTGTTGTTGCTGCCGCTGTCTAGAGATGCAGACCCAAATCGCAGCTGCTGCTCCACTTCACACGGCACCCGTGTCGATTGTTGTTGTCTGATCGCCGACACGCCACTTGCTGGAGATAAGAATCATACCCAAGTCTCATCATCGGGCAAGGAGTATAACAGTCGACGTTCCTGGTCGAGGCCTGCATTTGCGCGAGATGCTTGTTTTCTAATCACCTGCTTTTCTAATCAGTTAACTGTTTATTTAATGCTGTTAAAAGTAACACTTATCCGCGCGCAAACAAAAACAAAAACACACACACACACACACGCACACTCGCACTCACACTCGTATACGCTACGATATTTAGGGCCTCAAAGTTTTGTCCGTTTTCGCTTTACACGCTTGTTGCTTGGGCACGCGATGGGCTGGCTGCTGCCGTTGCCGGCCGGCAAAGGCTCGAATCGAATAGTGTACGAATGATAACGGCAGCAAGACATGCAAGTTAATAATTAAACAGAAAACAAATCGAGAGACGAACAAACAGACCAAACAAACGAACCGATCAACGAATTACCTACATGCAGACAAGAACAAGCAATAGGCTGACGACGCGACGCGACGCGACGATGACAACAGCAGAAATGTAATCAGACTTTTTCTTTCGTGCACTTAATCCCACACACTCAAGCCCAAGCTTAAAAAGCCCCCACATCAGCGACAGAGAGAGAGAGACAGAAAGAGATAGCGGGCTAAAGAGAGTGCAGCGCGTTAAGTCAAGTGCTTTTAAGTTCATAAAACAGCGGTACATATTAGATACATATAGATACGTATCCATATATGTATGTATATATGTATGTTATGTTTGGTCATCGATGACTATTTCGTCAATTAACTGAATCGATGCGTAAAAATAACTTTAATAACCGTTTGCCATGCCCCCCGCACGGCCAATAAGCTTTCCTGCACGTATACATGAAATACACATACGCACTCACATGTTCGAGGGCAGTTATTACAGTATTGGGAAAACTGATGATGAAATCATAGCAAAAATTATGAAAACTAAATTTTTTATGTTAAAATTCAAATTAATATTTTTTCATGCATCACATTTGATGTTCAACAAATATTAAAACAAGTATGAAATTTAATATAGTTAAAATCCAAAATTCTATTTTATATCATTGAAAAATAAATATGGAATTCAGTAGTGTTGGGTACATAACTAGTACAGCTCGCAAATTAAAAGGCATGTAACCGAAAGGAGATTGGAAGATTTAAATTAACGTTTAATAAGCAATAAATCATATTTCTTATATACCTATATAAATTAAACATATGTACATACCACTGACAGTATTGAAGCATACAGATAAAGCAATAATCTATATCGTACGTCTTTTGTAAATAGATATCCATTACATTTACAAATAACGTTTTAATATTATTGATTATAATCTCTAAAATGTGTAAACAGCAGGGTATTTACATATGAAATTGATGTTAAATATCTTCACATAATGTATTTATATTATATACAAACATGCATAGGAATTGTGATATAAAAATGACCCCATAAAATTTTGATAGGCCCTCGTGTGTACTTAGGCTTTTGCCCGGCATTGCTCGACAATTTCACGCAATGATTTTAAAAAATTTCCCCCGTTGCGCGGTCAGCTAATCGACCATCGCTCATTGCCGCTCATTGTACGTGTTGCTCAGCGCTTAGGTGAGAAAGTGGCGCGCTCTTTTCAGTCAACGGTGCTGCTGCTGCTGCCGCTGCTGCTGCTGCTGCTGCTGCTGCTAGTGCTGCCGCTAGCGCTGCCGGCGTTGAAACAAAACGTGCGAAGAGTCAGCACAGCGCATTCATTTGGCTGGCGAGCGTGCAGCAAAGCGCACAGTGAACAAAACGGACTGTTGAATCGAAGCAAAAGAGATGGGCCGATAACTCAACGCTGATATCTTGTGATTAATTTATTTACGTAGTCAGCAGTGTCAAAACAAAAGCAGCCCGCGCGCGTGTTTTTTTTTCCCTTTTTACTTTTCTGCTCTTTCCGTTGAAGTACGCAGTACGCGTTCAAGTAGAATATACAAAATTATAAAGCAGACTCCAAAAGCGGGGTCCAAAACAACAACGCAAAAAGAAGCTGCCGGCCGCGACGTCACGTCTGACAAACGGTTAAATACAATTGCCAAATAGTGAGACGACCCCACGCGCATACATAGAGACATATATGTGCGTAAGATATGTGTACATATGTACATACATACGTGACAGCTGAAAGTGAAGCATCATTGCGAAGATCTACTATATCTGTGCGTATATTTGCTTATGTATCCAAACAGATCGCGTTGCTGAATACTCGGACGAGGACGAGGAAGCCGAATTCAGTTCGGGCGAATTCAACGACGAATCCAATGAGCTGGCCATCACGGGCTACGATCAGAAGCGTGACTATAATCCGGCCAAGCATGATATGCGCAAGTATCGCAACAAGCTGCAAAGATCGGGCATTGCCGATATCGCAATAGTGGGTCATCATCCGCATCAGCATCATCCGGTGGACAGCGACAGCGAGTTCGAAATGAAGGACAAGAGCTCATCCCGTGCCAAGTTCAGTCGGGTGAGTCACATAACCAGACATAACTAACCACAATATATGTATATCTAGTACACAATTTGTACATACCCTACATACCCTACATACCCTACATACATATGTACAGTTGTCATGCATATAACGTGTAACCCCCAGCAGGTGTCCCCAATTCGACCACCTACTTATTTAAATAATTGTTTTGCCCGTTTGACATGGCCACAGTCAAGGGCGCCCCCTCTCTCTCTCTCTCTCTCTCTAAGGCGTGCTTCCAATTTAAATTATTTTATTTTATCATGCTAAGTGAACAAATATCATTTTCAGTTATCTAAACGCAAATGACTCGAAAAGTTTGTAGATTACGGACTTTTGCATTTGTACTTAATTAAATTGAAAACAATTCACTTGGCAACAAAATGTGTAGGAATTATATAGTTTGAGCAAATTACTTCAAATATATCATATAATATTATATGTTATAGATGCAAAAAAAGGAGCTTCATATCCTGCATGTGTTGCATATAAAAAAAACTTAAAATAATAAATTCTTGAAAAGTAGACAATTTCACAAGGCACGATAAATTTAAAACATGCTTAACTATATTAAAAAAATGTCTTAAAACTTGTGTTTCTTACAAGAAAAACTAATTTAAAATATTAATTCTCATGCATAATTTATATAAACTTAAAATAATAAATTCTTAAAAAATTTAAAATTTCACAAGCTATTAAAAAAAATGTCTTAAAACTTGTGTTTCTTACAAGATAAAATAATTAAGAATATTAATTCTCATGCATAACTTGCTTTAATTTGATTTGAACTTGAAACAAGGATATATTTTTTGATAACTTTTTAATTTTCGAAATAGTTACAATTATTTCTAGAATATATTAGAACAAATTATTAGCATACTTTTAATGTATTATTCTTTTAGATACTTGTTTTTTTTCCTAAATCGAGTATTTATTTTTAAAAATTAGTTTAGCATGCCACGAACTTCTGCTCCCAATTTTTTTAGGTCTCAGCCTCTTTTTTTAATTTAAGCCCTGCTTATTCGTAACTTGATTTATGTTTCTCTTTAAGTTTTTAAGTGTAACCCAAAGTTTTTTTTTGGTGCACAACATTTTGTTATGATCGCTCATTTCGCACGGCTGCAATTATCAAAGGCTTTGGGCTGTGACAAGCTGCCAGCCGTACGCCTGCTCTACATTAGTACTAACATACATACATACGCACATATGTACTTATGTACATACTAAGTATGTACTCAGAAATGTATATATTGTATAAAGGTATGCATATTGTTATTTTATTTCGTTGTTGTCTCTATGTGGTTTTCGAAATTTTAATTTGGTGACGCAATAATCGGGCCACTGCCTGCAACTATTTCCGTAAGGCGAAAGCATTTTCGGCATTCACTTGCCCAATCCCCACTTTTGTACTTGGCTAAAACACTGCATGCCCGTCTAGTATGTATGTACGTACTATGTTTAGTTAAAACTATGGCATGGCTAAGAATTTGCCATCGAATTTGTTGACAATTGTTGTTTCTGGCCTTGAGCACTCGCGCACATTAAGGCCAAACGGTGCCATGCAGGGGGTTTGTTTTAAAACAGAATCGGTTTAAGAATTGTATTATTATTTTCTACCCTTGAGACCCTACTCACCTACCCGACCCTACCCTGGTGCTGTTGATGGGGCCTTCGGCTCTGGTCTGAATCCATCAAGTCTAGAGATGGGCGCGGCCCGGCACGAACAACAAACATGCGCCTAAAAACACAGACAACTTATTAAAAAGCCCGACCCGGCACGGCGCGAAACACAAACATGCTGCATTTTTCATATATTTTTCGTCTGGACTTTTGCGATAAGCAAATTCTTAAAATTGTTTGGCGTTTGGCTTTTGACTTATAGCGCTTCTTTAATCTCTATAAATAAAACTGTTATCCTGACTGACTGACTGACTGATTGATGATCGACGAACAGCCCAAAACCATAAGAGCTACTAAGCTCAAATGTTGACTGTACTTTCCATTCCACCCGCAAGTATGGAAAAATCGCGGAAAACGTTTGTGTGAAACTTTTTTGTTTATTATCCGATCGGCCTCAAACTCATATTCAAACTCATATTGAAATAATTTGAGGGGCATTTCATACTTTTTGGATTCATTGGTCCTCGATATAAATGGGGGTCAATGTTTTGGTGGGTGAAGTTTCGCGTTCAAATTCATTTCCGAAGGTCATTACGAAATATCTTTTGAGATGTGTTTCACACTTTTTGCATGCTCGGATATTTGGGCGAAGTTAAGGGTTTTGTCAAATCCCTACATAAGAACTTAGTGAATACGTGTTTCAGCGCTTTTGGAAATTCCACCTGACAGTGTGGAAATTTGACCGAAAGCTTGGAACTTTTTTGTTTATCGGTTTCAAACTCAGAATTTATTTGATACATTTTTCGGATGGAAAATGCTGGTCAAAAGTTTTAAATATATTTTTCAGCTTCTAGATTCTCACCACAAGACTAAAATGGTCGGCAACCGCTGATTCAAACATTTGTTTCTTTATACGATGCACTTTAAACATATTTTTAAATAGAATTGAAGTTCGAAATGGGTAGATTTAAATTTTCCACGGGTTTATACCTGGTGGAAAGGTAATATCTAAAGTTTGTAGCACAAAACGTGCCACGGACAAGGCCGCGTAATACACGGTACTTATTTATATATTCACATATCTCCCATCGTATTACGCATTTATTTCGCCTGCGCCTTGACGTATGCAATGGATTTGCACGCTCTCCTGCGTCGTCGAACGACATTAACCAGAAATAGCTGCAAGTGCAGACATGCCGAGTGAATAAATAGCTGATTGATTGACTGCATGAGAATTGAATTGCATAAATGTCAAGGAGAAGACAAGCATTAAACAAATGCTCGACTTCCATTTACCCTATACAATCAACATACCTTATTAAAGGGTATATATGAATATTAACCTGTTTGATCAGTTTTAGAAATGTCTG